CAAACAGTACGTTTTTAAGATTATTGGTTGGAGAAAAAAAAAAAAAAAAAAAGGAAAGCAGAGAAAAAATGAACTGAGAGAAGAAAGAACGACCTTACAGTCGTCCTCAGATGTATTCATACTCTTCCATTAAAGAAAAGGCAAAATTCACAACAGTCACTCAAATAAGTAGAAACTGAAAAAAGTAATAATAAAATTTTAAAAATTGTTAAATTATAATTTTGTGAAATAAGACATTGCTTTTGAATTTTGGTTGAAAAGAATAATTAAAGATTAAAAAAAACAAACAATAAAAACTGTCTTGGACAAATGAGAGCACTTTGCTGATGAGCAGTGGGCCATAATACCTGTCAACAGGTGCAGAAGTCTAATTATTACTTTTGTTAATTTTAACTTATTTCAGTGACAGCTGTTTATTTCCTTCTTTAATGTTAGGGTATGACTACATTTGAGGACGACTGTACATTGCCAGTGACCCTTAATTTATATTAATAACAGGTAAATAACAGGTTAATATGCACAGATTGCTGAACGTGGTTGAGCCTCCAAACTCCTAAAAACGCTTCTGATTAAAGCGATGTGCACATTTTCTGCAATAAAATAAAAATAACAATTCAGATTCTTGTGGTGATGGGGAAAAAAAACAGGAATTATTCTGCTTTCATCTGCGCTCAAACTGACTGCGTGCATTGCAGATGTAAAATACTTGCTACCGTTTGGTATCGCGGTGGTTTTATTTCCCGTGTCGGTCGGTCTGTCGGTCGGTCGCTGCTCGGCGGCTTCCTGGATGTTCACGGAAACTCACCGTGTCGCTGCTTCCTCGTTTAGCCGCCGCCGCTCCTCCTACAGAGAAATGGTGAGAGAAATTACAAATATGTGCCGATAAAACCCACACAGGTGAACCGCTTCATACAAAAGACGGTGTCGTTAGTAAGGCTTTGGCGCTGTTACAGTGAAGCTGCGTCCATTTGCGGAGGCTCGGTTCGGATTTTTTTAGCTGCTTTTATTTGAAGTAGCTCAGCAGGCTGTTAGCTAGCAGGCTAACGTTAGCTGGTCGGTTTGTGAGCAGAGAGGGACAAAATATCCACACGTTGTCGTAGTTCATACAGACGCTGACTTGTTAGGATGATTTTAAAGTGTGTGTCGTTACTCTGCAATAACACTTTGTTGTTAAGTAACGTAGAATGGCAACTACAGTAATGGAAGAAGGGGAGCTAGCAGCTGCTGCTACCAGCTGACCTGATACTGATGTTGGTAGACCAGATGTGGGGTGTTGGTGGTGGAGGTGGAGGTGGTGTACCCTCCACAGCTGCTTGGTCTCTCATCCTAAACAATTTCACTGCTAAATCTTGATTTGTTTGTATGGATCGAGACTTTCCCCCCCATAATTCTATCGGTGCTTGCTGCCTTTTTCAACACAAAGTGGCATATGTTGTAGTGCCACTAATGAAGTGTTAAGAATTCATGTTTCTGGTGTTGCTGGTTTATGTTCAGGGAGGTCAAAGGGTCGAGACATCTGCACAGCATCACCTCATCATTTTTGAAGGCAGTGCTGAAGACGTAGAAGATCCACTTAGCTGATATTTTTCTAAAGCTACAAAGTATCCCTAATATTTTGGCCTAAATTACCTCAAACAATCTGGTTTTTCAGGGCAGATGCTGATTATTAGTAATCAAGGAGACTCATATCTGATACTTGGACATGATACACATTTGCAGTTTAAACGATAATCCTGGTGTACGTGAAAAGAAGCTTTTCAACATTTTGCCACGGTTTTACTCCTGACAAATCACCAATCAGACAGTGCTGCGGACAGGAAATTGCTCAAGAACACAGAGTGACCACAGATAAAGAGAGACTGCTGTTTCACCTCTAAAGTAACACATTTTTAAATGGATGTATTTCATCTGGAGTCAGTTTCAAAAAAAAAAAAACATAATAGGAAAAATGCTGACCGTTAGATCTGATTATTAGCTAGACTAACAATTGGTTGTCCCTGAATATGTTTTGAGATTTCTGCAATTATTGTTTGTGTTGGTTTCCATATAACAAAGCAACATATGTTTGATTAGCATCTAATGCCAATATTGATTTTTATAAGACTGGCTTTAGTCTTGAGATGGTCAAACTCCTGCTCAGGATTCTTTCAGCAGAACTGTATAATGAGGTGAAGGACCCACAAAATAAAAAGTACCTGCTGTAGCAGTAGACCGATCAGAAACGACCTGTAGCTCACTCTGTGTTCAGCCTTAAGCAGCCAAAGGTTCTTTACAATGTTAATTGGTGAAGTGAAATCAGAGAGAAGTGTGTGAATCTTTTTGATCTGCAGGACGTGTTATAAACCTGTCAGGCTTAGCTGTTCCTGGGTATAGAAGCAGACATCATATATTAAGGGATAATAGTTCATTAATATCCCTAGTTTAATCCAACAGTTGGTTCGAATTTCAAAGATATTTGGTATAAAAAAGCAGCAAATGTTCACATTTAACGACCTGTATTTACATGTAAAAATCAGGAGAGATTAATAGTGTTCAACGAACTGATTGATCATACTAGAATTTAACGTCTTCATTCTCAGGTTTCACATTTGGCAGAAGTTTGGTTGGTTTTCTAGATTTCAGCACTTCAATTGATACTTAATTCCAATGATCCGTTTCTTGTTGTGCATCCTCAGACAGCAACCTTGCGCCCATATCTCAATGCTGTGCGTGCCACGCTGCAGGCCGCCCTCTGCCTGGAGAATTTCTCTTCACAAGTGGTGGAGAGACACAACAAGCCAGAGGTGGAAGTCAGGTGAGTCTATCACTGTATCTGGAAGTGTGACTAAAACAAAGCAGAGTGTGGAAGAGTTCAACTTCAGGATGCCTGTGGACTGACTGTGTGCCAGAACATCAGCTGTGTGTGTTTGTGCTTACTTTCAGGAGTAGTAAAGAGTTGCTCCTCCAGCCTGTAATCATCAGCCGTAACGACAAGGAGAAGGTTCTGATCGAGGGCTCCATCAACTCCGTCAGAGTCAGCATCGCTGTCAAGCAGGTCAGTCAAGAGTCTGACTGTGTGTTAATGGTCATGTGTGTAGACTGTGACTCAGAACAGCTTAGCAACTGGTAATTAGTAGAATTGCGTCTGTAATCTGATGTGCTTTTTAAATCATTTGTTGCTTTAGGCAGATGAGATCGAGAAGATTCTGTGCCACAAGTTCATGCGTTTCATGATGATGAGAGCAGAGAACTTTTTCATCCTGAGGAGAAAACCAGTGGAGGTGAGTGGCCGTTGAAAACTGGTCAGTCACACGTCGGATGTTCCCACGCATACTTACCACTGATAGGAAATTGTCTGAAATAGCCTTGTAAGCTTGAAGTTGCACTCTAAAAGGTAATGTTTAACAAAAAAAAAACCAACTGAACTGTCATGCACATTATGAAACACCAGAGTTTAGCCTAGATACTGTAGTTGTGTAGTTGCCCTGAATAAGCTTCAATGACACTTGGTTAATAGACAGAGCTAACTACAACAAACTACAAATGTTTCCCACAAATATCCAGGAAAGATGTAGGAAAAGGTTTGCTGTCAGTTGCTGTATTACTGTTTTTTCAGGTTTTAGGCATTTATTTAACACATACATGTGATGAGGGGATTTTTAACGCTTCTTTTCTCATTTCACAGGGCTATGACATCAGTTTCCTCATCACCAACTTCCACACGGAGCAGATGTACAAGCATAAACTGGTGGACTTTGTTATTCATTTTATGGAGGAAATTGACAAGGAGATCAGTGAAATGAAGCTGTCTGTCAACGCCAGGGCTCGTATAGTCGCTGAGGAGTTCCTCAAAAACGTGAGTTACTGTCTCTACACTTTGCTGTTTACAAAATGACTCTTCCTTTTCTCATATTAGGTTGACAGAGTTTCGCTACAGTATTTATTTTGCTTCAGTGTTTATTGCTGGAATAGTTTCTATGTATTTTTCTAAATTGCAATATATTCTCCTTTGTTTTGTAGCTTAGACATTGTTTTTGCTTTACCTTTACAGTTCTGAGAGGGGAAATCCAGGAATACATTCCGTTTGCAATCTTGTAAGTCACTGTGGAGCGTTCCCATCACAGAGCAGAGAGGAGACAAAATATGACCAGCGAAGGGAGGTGGAGAAATACAAGATGTACAGGAAAGATGTACAGGCCAGTGGGGTTTCACCCTTTAACTTTAAAATGCACCTGTGCTCAAAAATATTGATGTTTGTACATAATGAATATTAACACCAGACATTAATTTCTGCCTTTGGAACATGAAGTCAGGGCAGGTCCTTAAAAAGATGTGTTATCGATATTAATGAGCACAGGATAATATGGATTTTTCAGATAATTTAAATGTTGTTTTTTTAAAATATATATATATTATATATTATATGCACATAAATTTCATTTTGCTATGTTTTGTTACAACAAACCTTAAACAACAAAGGCAATCAATTAGTTCATGTTTCTTGTTTTAGTACACAGAGGACCCTATTGTAGATGAAACAAATTCAAATAAATATACTTGCTGGCAGTGAAGTTAAATAAAAATGTTGTACTTTGTATTTTACTGGTTTTTCTTACCTGCTATGTAATTAAACATCAACAGCAGTTTTCTCTTTCCCACAAATATCGAACGTTTATTGAGATTTTGACAGCTGAAGACAGAACAAGGCATTTGGAACAGTTTTTTTCAACAAAGAAATAGAAATACAGTGTACATAAATCTCAAAAAAGTATTATACAGGTAGTTTTACACGCAAAACATTAAACCAAACATGCATGTACAGTTTGCACAGCACCAGACTTTATACTCACAAATAAAAACAGGTTTTCATTTTGTGGCAGATTAAAGTTATTTAGTTGCCAAAAAATGACACAAGTGACACAGTGAAGATTTGTCAAAGCTTTTGATTGCATCTCTTAAAAACAGACACAACATCCCCAAATCCTTTTTGTGGTAAATATTTAGAGGAAGGAACATTATTTTGGATCATAAGCTACATTTTAGAGAAAACTGAACACAAGAATTTACAATAGAAGTTCAATCCTCTAGGTTTTTTTTTGTGGGACTTGGTATAAGAATTTTATCTTCACCTCTGGAATGTTTAAATTATCTTAAGATAAGATCTTTGTGTACTCTGAGTACACACATCAAGCACAGCCCCCTTTTTAGTCACAGAATATCAGTGGACAACCACGAAAAGAAAAACTTGGTTAAAAAATCAGATTTCTGTGTACTTTAGTGACGTCAAATCTTTTCTGGGGTTACATTTGATTTTCACACATTAACATCATCAGAACCAGTGGAAGCGTATGGCAGTATACACAGTGCACAAAGTACAGTAGATATTAAATAGAATCATGGAAGATGATGCCGAGAGTTGAAAATATTATCATTGCACCAGTAACAGTAGATCCACTTATCAAAAATATTGGACTTTGCCTTTAGTTTGATCCACTGAGTCACACAATAGTACAAGTCAAACAAACATATGTGTAAAAAAAAAAAAAAATTCTAGTTAGTGAAAGTGCTTTACAGTATGAGTCTGGGAAGGTGTCTCTGTTTCAGTGAAGAAGCTGCCACTGGAGGCAGTTCAACAGCACTGTTCCCATAGTGCTGTTCAGAGGTCCTGACAGAGGCTCAGCTGGAAGTACAGGAGGTTAGAAATGAGCTGGGACTGTTTGCAGAGCGTCTTCAGTGCTGCGCTGCACGTTCACATTCTGAAACAGTGATGAGAGAATAACACTGAGTTACAGCCTACATTACTTATCGGACATTTACAAATTGACTTTTGTTAATCGGATAATCCCTCATGTGTGTAACTTTTTTTTTTTTTTTAAATGACTCGTGCTTTTAGTCAAATGAAGCAGGAATCTTGCTGTTGTCTGGAGATGATGAATGAACCTCATGAGCAAGGCCACAGTCTTTATTTTAATACTGTTGTCATAATCTATTCATGATATATTTCAGAAGAGAAGGAAACATTCTCATGGTTCAGAGGCCTTTCTGGGCCGCTGAAGTTATAAATTCAAGACAACTGACATCTTTTTGAAGTCAGTAAAGAAGCATTTTAATTGCAGTAACGCTGCTTACAGCTTTACTGAGACAAATCATTCAATATCCAACCCACACTCATATTCAATTGTCTCTATAGACACATTATAGCTGCTAAGTGCAGTTCAGCTTTGAGTAAATAAATGCTTTGATCAGTAAAAGTAACATGACAAAGACACTTATTTATTTTCATCTGGATCTTTATATTCACAATGCATCAACCTTGACAAACTCAAAACATGAAACAAGTGTTTAATCTAACACGTTAATATTATCACTGATTTTAGGGTAAAAACATAGCACATCTTTATTCTAGCAAAGGTCTAAAATTTGAGTAAACACTGCTTATTAACCCTTCACATTTAAAAAGTAAACAAATGTTAGCATACACGACTTGAAACAAACATTACTGGAATGACAATGAAATTGTGCGTCATTTTATGTGCAGCAAAAATGTATATTTAGGTTAAAAGTCTTTGTCACGAACACACATGTATAAAAAAGCTACATAATGCATAACATACATGTAAATGGCTTCATGTAAATGTAAAACTATCAAAAAATTATATGAAATGTTTTGACAAAGTTTAAAGACGGCTTAAAAACAATATTGATTTAATGCGCTTAGGATTCCTCTTTCATTCACTGTTGTGTTCAGTCATACATTCACAAACACACACACATTTCCCCTAACTCTTACACATATGTTAATGACTACACACACAAAACCAAACACAACTTTAACCTTAATTTAGTCTCTCCACTAATTTTTAAGGCTTATTTTATGAGCACCAGCTATAGGGCCTCCATAAAGTGACAGATTTTTCACCCCACACAACAACACACACACACACACCTAAGTGATTTATCCTGACAGTGCATTCCAGATTTGCTGTTTCTACTAAGATGGAAAACTGAGGAAAAGCCCTGAGAGGGAAAACAGCATGCTGCTGCACATATCTGCTGCCACTGATTGAAAAAATAAATAAAAAAAAACTGAAGTGAGAGAAAAAGTCAGTCATTGCTGACAACATGGAGGTAGGAGTATCAGGGGGAAGTGATGTCACAGTGGTTGGGGTTGCTGTCAGGGATCACTGGTGGACGGAGACTGAACCTGGCCTCAAAGCTCTGAGTGAAATCTTTACATTCTCTGTGTGACAAGAACAAAGTGACCGGTCAGCACTAACTGCTACACCTGCTCAGGAGGAAGACGCACAAACAGGGTGTGTATACAGTGGTATCTGCTGGTCCTCCTGTTTAGAGATGTACGTCAGAGATGAAGTTAGCTTGAAAACACAGCAACTTCAGTCGTCTGCTGTGAGACGTTTCTGTGTGCTGCCTGCGATACCTACCTCTGGTCTGTCTCTGTGTGTGTTCACAGAATCCACACCTAAATACACGGACTCCACTTTACATCCTGAGTAAGAGCAAAAAAAAATAAAAGAAGCAAAGATCATTACTAACTTTGCAAATTACAATATATAATGATATTTCCATAACATGTGTCTCTAGGTACCAAGTTTACATCAAATGTTATCTCCATGTAGTTTCAGATGGTAACTTCATGTGACAGACAGCATTTATTTATGATATAAGCCTAGAAAAATTACATAACTCACCATAAGCCACGGGGGTCAACTTCAACACAGTGTGCAAAGGGCAGTTAAGATAAGGCAACTCATCTGCGGTGACAGACACAAAGTTTCAAGAAGTTTCATGGTCAGGATGGTACAACATATCATTTCAAGCTGAAACTGGACCACCAGACTTTACCTTGTAATCAAAAAGTGCTTTAAAAAAAACACAAACACCCTATATATATATACACACATATCATAAATGGGCAAAAGGAACATCCAAAAAATGTATTTGACTATACAATTGCCGGTTTTAGTTGTTCTTACCTGCAGTCTTATCGAGGAAATATGCAAGAAGACAGCGCATGACGGCCTGGTGACAGATGACCAGAATGTTCTCCTGTCTCTCCAGCTCCATGATCACAGGCTCCAGCCGCTGCACCAGGTCTTCATATGACTGAGTTTTCCGGACACAAACAAGAAACTTATTCACCTCTTAAAAAAAAAAAAAAAGGACATTTTAAAGACTCATGTCATCATCTTACCTCTCCTTTGGGATAGCGGTAGCGGTATTTGTCCTGGTCTCTCAGTGCAAACTCCAGAGGGTAGTGCTCCTGGATCTCCTCATACATCATTTCTTCACACACACCCTGGGTAAAGAGAGGGGAAAATGTGTTCAGCTTTTATGCAGATGCTTTTAAATGATTTCGGACTAAGTGGACAGAAGTCGACATACGGCGTCGATTTCGTTGAGAGATTTCCACTGCTCGTATGGCGCTCCCAGGCACTCCGCTGTCTGGATCGTTCTCTTCATCTGGCTCGTCCAAACCTTCAGATCTTTGATGTTCTGTTCCTGGATGAATTTCCTCAGATGTTTGGCAAACTGGAGACAGAAAATCGACTTTAAACTCACCCGATAAGAAGTGATTTCTCTTCTATCTTTTAAGACTACGCTCATTTTGCAGTCACACAGCACGCTCAGGAACACACCTCTTTCCCTCTGGCAGACAAACCAGAGTCTCCTCCGATGCGTCCCTTGATGTTGAGGTCGCTCTCACCGTGGCGACACAGGTAGATGGAGCGCGGTGTGATATGGATGTTCATCAGGTAGTAGACGATTCGGCTTTGGATGTGGTCAACGACACGGTTTACAAGATAACGGCGGCCCACATCCATGATCTTTATGTAGGATAGATCTCTGAAATGAGACATTTAGTCAGCTATCTCTAATCTTGAACTGATTTAATCTGTTCCAAGTCATTTTTACGAGTCCTCACCTGTCCAGAACCTCATCCAGAGGCTGGTAGGATGACTCGTAACACTTAATTCTCTTCATGAAGTCTTCAATGGCTTCTTCTGAGTTGCAGTGTATGTAGTCTGGGCTTCCCAGCTTAACTTGCTACAAAGAGAGGAAACCCAAGGAGAGGATGTGAGCAAAGGAAAAGAGGAAGAGGAAGTCAGATGTCTGATATTGCTTTAAGTCTTTTCCACATTCAGTTTGTCTGGTTCCACTTTCAGAACAATTTATACAGTTATTAGCAAGTCTGGTTTCTTGGTCAGCACCTCAGCTCTCACAAATTGTAAGTGGTTTTCTCTAGGAATTCAAAAAAAACAACCTGATAGCATTTTTTTAACAACTTAAAATATAGGGAAAAGAGCATTTTTACACAACTTGTTTCATAATGTTAGAAATGTGACATTTTGTGAGGCATATTTTAGAATAAAACATGCTTTTAATTAACTATTGTGGGTTGAATACACAGAAACCAATCTTACCACTATATTTTGTGCAATGACTTCTGGGTCCTCACACACTGACTCCACAAAAAATACCTAAATTGACGAGAAAGCATGTTAAACCTGGAGGTCATCGAGCCAGTGGGGATTGATGGAAATAGATGCCTTGAACGTACCTTGAATCCATTCTGCTCAGCAAACTTGACAATGGTTCCTCTTCTTTCTCTTGTTGTATTTGTGGCATCAAAGACCTGAAAAAGCAGGAAACAACTCTCCTTATGCAGTCCTGATACATACTGATGAATTTTGTGATCGTCTGACATGCAGACGTCTAGGACAGTAAGAAGGACTCACCGCAACCTGTCCTCCTTCAACGCTCAGGTACTGCCGGACGTCGTTAAGTGCTGACGTGGCACACTGACTGTGGAGGGACATGGGAGAAATGTTATGAAAGGTTACAAAAAAGGTTCTGCACGTTGCAGCGGTCAGCCATGTGCTACTGACAGCTGGAAGTCTGCAGGTTTTCAGTCCAGCTGATCGCTCCAGCGGGTGACTGTACACAGCAGCTCCTCCTCTCTTCTTCAAAATGTCAGTGGTGGATTGTGGCTGGAATGGAAACCCTGCAGACTGTTGGCTTGTCACTGTTCATGGTTGACCAGCCCTGCATGATACAGTCTGACATCCAGAAGAGTCAGTGTGTACTCACCGTCTGATTTTTAAGCCTTCTTCATTGTCTGGACGGAAAAACTCAAAAGACTTGTAGATCTTCAGACACTCCCTTCGGTACTGGCCAACATTGAATTCTGTTATGCAGACAGTTGTGTATTAATCACAAGGCTTCCACTTTAAATTCGTAAATATCTGTAATGTGTGTTGTGGATGTGACTGGTATACCTTTGGTTGGCACACCTATCCAGTTTAAGTAGCGAGTGAGCTTCTTTGAAATGTAAGTCTTCCCTCTGGCTGGAAGTCCAACTGTCACAATGAGGGTGGGACAGTTTGTCATACATACTGAAAGAAAAGGAGAAACATAAACATTTAATACATTGAAGTCACTTTCTCATACATTTGGTTTACTGAGTACAGCACATTGTTCCATTCAGCTAGAAGTTAATTAGTCCTGAAGGTTGCTCATAATTACACATTAAGAACACTCTGTCTGTGTTACAGTGACACACAGTGGTGCAGAAAATTCCCTGCAAGAGAATTCAGATGTACGTACTACAAATGAAACAAGGAGGCACCTGGACAAACAACAAGTCACGTGCCTCAGATACTCAAATATGACATGTTTTATGCCCCATCAGGATTGAGAGTAACATCTCTTAGAGGAAGAGGGAAGAGATGAAGGAATGCCAGTTTAACAAACGACTGAAAATAAGGAAGCAGGGTTTTTCCTGACACAGAATAAGTGACAACAGCATGATCAGTGCACGTGCAGAAAAGTGTGTGTTATCGTAAAAGGCTGAAACATGCATTTTGCTCTTATTTTGGTCCATCTGATAAAAAGAAATTGTCTCTTATGCCTGAGTAAATGATAGAATATTTGAGCCAACGGGCGCCCCTATAGCTCACCTGGTTGAGCGGGTGACCCATGAACAGGGGCTACAGTTCCCCAGCACGGCGTTTGTGAGTTTGACTCCCGCTCACAACAGTTTGCTGCAAGGTATCTCCCCATTCCTCTTCCCCCTTTCCTGTCTCACTCTCTCACTGTCCTGACTAATAAAGGCAAAAACGCCAGAAAATGTATCTTTAAAAAAAAAAAAGAATATTTGAGCCAATGCAATTAGCAAATCACAAAGGCTGTATTTTATGATAGACACTGTGCAGTGTGACTACGCAGGGTTAAAGCTGCCATGTCAAAGGTTTTACAATTTCCTGCCATCCTCCTTGTGTGACAGTCACACTTTTGGTGGTATTTCTTGTGGTGATGCTCCATCATGTGCTTTAAATCTGTTACACTGAGAATACAGAGTGGAGCTTGACTTTAAAATAGGTATATATATATATATATATAAAATTGCAATCTCTTTCACAAAAATCACAATTAGATATTTTCCCCAAATTGTTTAGCCACAATTGACAACTCTTGTCATTGTAGAAGTGCTGATTTTTCTTTGGCACCAGCTAAAACCGTCAAAAATTCCTTCATGCAGGAAAAACCCAGAGATGAGAACGAACAAGCAGACGGCAGTAGGTGTGGTCCGTGTCTTCTCCACTCAGACCTACTGTACTTCTTAAACAGCTAACCGGAGGCACACGCTGATTAATTAAGGACAGCAACATGTGGTAATCCCTGCTTGCTGTCAGTGTTCATGTTGTATCACCTCAGCTGCATCTCAGAGCTGAGGGTACTTTGCAATGTGAATTGCAAGCTGTTAGCTACATGATTATTTTATGTATGTATTTTTTGTTATTCTTAACAGATAAACAATGAATGCTCTTTCTGGATTCACTATTAGTCAAGAATGTCACAAAAACAGCATTTTTGAAACTGCACTAACTGATAATTTCAACTAATTTCCTTGATTTTATTTATTTATTTTGATAAAACTGTTGATTGCATAGTGCAAAACTTGTGTATACACACACAGGACAACATTTACGGTCACCACTCTGTAAACCTATCCTCTCTGGGTCACTGAGACGCTCCCTCAGGCCATAAGCTGACACAAAGGATTCTGGATTGATGTCTGAAGCGACTCTTGCAGTGTGTTTTAAAAACCAGGCATACAATAATTAAAAACAAAGTTGAAGACGATGCAACGTTTAGTGTCAGACACAGCACTGAACGACTCTGAAGAAGGCAGAGCTTGACTCAGCAGAAACGACAAGAGAGCCCTGCAGAGAGGACAGACCAGACAGAAGGCAACTGAAGAGCAGCTGCTCGCAGCCAGACGGACACCAGACAAGTCGGCTGTTAGTGGAGGTCCAGGCTAAGCTGATGTCTGCGGGTCATGTGTGTACAATTATGTCCCCATGTGCGTGTAAACTTTACCCCACAGCAAGTGATACTGGAGTAAAAAAGGGACCAGACATGCTGGACATGATGCAACATTGCCACGCACATCTCCAACAGCCGCGTAATGGCATATAACGGATTTTCTTGCGCGAAATGAACCAACAAATACAAGCGCAAAATACAGTGTGGTGGAAAAAAAGACAAAACAAACAAACAACAACAAAAAAAATCAACGCAGAAAAAAAAAAAAAACGTCAGCCGATCTCCGACATCACCTCCCGGTTTCATCCCTTGCGCACTTGCCGGCCAGCTGCATCTTACCCCGTCTCTGAGCTATGTGGCCGTTTCTGCACGGCATCCAGATCTTCTTCAGCGGGTTCTGGGTGAGCTCCCGCGGGTAAGTGTCCAGCATAAACTCCTCGTTGTCTAACATCCTGGATGTTAGAGCACTGATGGTGCCCTCCTAACAGCAAACTGAGGCGGTGGGCTGCAGCTCTGCTACTCTGATTCAGCGGGCTGCAGGGGGGATGGATGTCATATATCAGCTGAGAAACAGCAGTTTCTCCCTACCGTAAGGACTGGACACAGAGCGCAGCACAAATCCAGGGAGCAAAACAAAGCGCCTGGTACAGGATGTAACTTGCCTTCAATCCTGTTATTGCATGTCTACATTTTATCAAATACTGTTCCCAGTTGTTTACTACTTTCACATTAGAATGTTATTCCAAGCACCTGCTTAGAGTTTCCTATTTAATCTATCAGCATTTAGTCAGTTTTAACAGTGTTATGGCCATAAATGTACACAAAAGATCCACAGCATACTGTCAAATAAAATAGTTTTCCATTTTATTTATTTCTACAAAAAAAGTTCTCTACAGTCCTTGGGAACTGTCAAATCAAGATATGGATTTCATATGGACTCCTACACATTGTCTAACTTGCAAAACATTTATTTGCAACACTTTAGCGTGGGACCTTCATTAGGCAAACAGTGTGATGCAAAAAGAAGCCGTCTTAGATGAGGAGAATCTGTAAGTCTGCAACTAGTGAACACACTCCACATACTATAGGAAGGCATAGTTTACAAAACATCACTCCACCAAATGACAACTGTATTTCACATACAGAAAGTAGGCAAATTGTATAGAATGAATAAAATCCTAGGATATGAGTGCTTAAAACCTCCAAGGGCAAAACCACAGTCTTGAAAAAAACCTGCATTTCCAGGTAGCATACATAGATTGCTAATTGCAATGAAGAAATTCCACAAACTACACCAACTAAGCAGGTGCCATTAAATATGGCAGAGAAAAAGTTGAACATCAATAAAAACAATGTAATCTCAACAGCAATACAATATATAGTACAAGATACAGGCAGCAGCTAAGCTTCTGTACGTGTATACATCAATACATCATATAAAAAGGGGGGGAGGGGTGGATTTAGTTAGGATTTTTACTTTCTGAATGTGATTTGAAGTTGTCAATAGGTGGAATGACGTTTTATAGTTCATGTCTTCCTATAATATGTGGGATATGTAGATTGGTTGTGGAGTTGCAGCTTGTATCAAACCATTTGCCTGATGAAGGTCCAGACCCAAAAAGTCACTTACAAATGTCCTTTTCCCCCGTTAGAGTGCAGGAAAACTTCACCTATGCACATGTGTCATGAAATACATGTGCGGAGAGTTGTTTGTACTGTCAAAATATGACATCAACGTACCTAAAAACCCCTGCTTTTGATTTCGTGAAAATTTGTTCAGTGCTACAGCTGTCCTCAAATGTGTTCATACCGTCCCATTAAAGAAGGAAAAAAAACCAGCTGTCACTGAAATAAGCTGAAATTGACAAAAGTAATAATAAATAAAAATTTACTGAATATCATGACATTGCTTTTGAATTTTGGCTCGACAGAAATATAAACAAAAAAACAAAAAACAAGCATGATGGGACCCATGAACTAATATTTTTTTGAACAACCCTTTGAGCCAATGACTGCAGTCAAGTGTTTTCTGTAACTCCCAGTCAGACTTCTGCACCTGTTGACAGGTATTTTGATTTTGGACCACTGCTCATCAGCAAAGTGCTTTAATTTGTCCGGGACAGTTTTTAATTTTTTCAATTTTTTTAAATTATTCTTTTCAACCACAATTCAAAAGCAATGTCTAATTTTATTAAATCATAATTTTGAATTTTTTTATTTATTATTATTTTTTCCGTTTTTAGCTATTTGAGTGAATATTGTGAATTTTGCCTTTTCTTTAATTGAAGGGTATGAACAATTTGAGAACAACTGCATTTAATGAAGCGCAAGGTCACCAACAACAATGAAGAGACATGAAATGGAAATTAATAATATCAAGTGATCAGGAGAGGAATTATTGTGGGGTTCTCCTTTCCTTAGGGGTGTGTCTTCAATACATGTGTTCTCTTTTTCTTGAACATTTTGTTCTTGTTGTGTTTTTCACAGTCTGCTGATGCCTGTCACCTTTTCATGAAGCATCTTGTGTTATACATGGAACAAACACATTTCCATGAATCCTTAATGTTAAAAGAAAAAGTGTTTTCATGAACATTTGCAGAGCATAAGCAGAAACTCCCCAAATTTTCCTTTCTAAGAAAACACCTTTTCAAATGTTACCGTAATGCCTCGTAGATTGAGCGAGTGAAGCGAGAGCAAGCAGATGTTGGAAGAAAAACAAGCGTTCAGCTGCTCACATGCACCACACATGGGCAGTGAATGCAGCTGACAGGCCAACCAATCAGAGACGAGACGGTGGGTCGGGCAGCCAATAAGAGAGGCGTGAGGGGAGAAAAAGGAGGGGAGAGCTGAGTTTTACACGACCCAGCCACGGACCCTGCAGAGTCAAGATCACACATCCTTCTGCAGCAAAACTTATCAACAACTCCAGACACACTGACAGAGCAGAACATCCTGATACCGAGTAAATATTTTGCCACTCAAGCATTTCACTCTGCTAATGACTTTGCTTCTGAGAAACAAACTGTTGCACATGTAAAAATAATAATAATCAACACATAGTGCAGCTATGATTACTTTCTTATTAATTCACCCTCTGAGACCAAAGTAGTTTGTTTGTTCTTGTCATATTTTTAGTCAGTGCAAGTCAATACAAACACCTGCACCTCTATGGAAAGAGCATGACCATATCTAAAATCAGAGAAAGTCAACAGTGAAGTATAACAATTACTTTATTTATTATTATTTTTATTTTTTAAACCAAAACAAAACAAAAACAACAACAGTCTGGAATCAACATGAACAACACTTTTCTAAGTGCTCACAGGTGTTATCATTACTGGAACATGATGACACTGCATACTATGCATATTTTACTTCTTACTTCGCTTTTTCTTTGTTGTCATACTTGTCTCCTCTCTGCTCTGTGTAAACAGTCTGCAATTCAGCAGAAAAGTCCACAAATTTTTAGTCCTGACTGTTAGTTTGAGGTGAGCTACTAACAGTTTCATAGAAGTGCACAGGAGCACAGAATTTTTGGATTTTTAAAAAGAATCTGGTTTAAAAGATTTATTTTTGGTGATTTTTTAAACAAGAGATGTAGATTAGAGTGGTTTTGATAAAATATCACAATTCAAGCTTAGGTTTGGTTAAGTTCTCAACTTCTCAAACGTAAGGTTTTGTCTCTGTTGCCTTTTGTTTGTTTAATATGATAAATGTGTTTAGGTTTTACACTTATTATGGGAAAGAAAACAAGACGCTGAAAAAACTAAATCCTGAGATATTCCGATGTGGAATTTTCATCATCTTCTGACATTCTATATCAGAAATATTAATCAATAAAAAAAAATAGGAGATCACTGGTAATTTACAATTTACAGTGAAGTACACTGAGAAAACCCTGCATGTCGTCAGTACGCATTTGACAGTCGGCTTGGCTGGTTGCTTTATTATAATACTTGATGATTACTGTAACTTCAGCAGTAAATAAATTATCTGCTTTCCCTCACCAAGAGGTCTTGTGTTCAGTTACAGCATAAATAAACTGCATTGAACTCACAGCCGTGTGGTCATGGAAATATATTTGCTTGGCATTTTTAGAACCAAAAGAATAAATAGAAAGTTGATAATGCAGACTGCAACATAATCCTGCCAAGACAAGAACAGGGAAGTCCAGCAGCCTTTGCATTGAACTCACTAGTGACTGTGGATGAATGAACTCAAGTTTCACTATCAAGTAACGTCTGAATCATTTCAAAAACATCCTGATGTGAAAAAAACCTGGCAGACTGCACTGTTTTGTTCCCAGCCTTGATGAGACTTGATGTAACACCAAAGTTGTGGCACCAGGTGGCGCTGTGCACTCACTTTGAAAGGCCACAAGTTGAGATTTCAATAAAGCACACAAAGTAATTATGGTATCGTCTTCAGTAGAAATGACTCTATTCAGAGTCTGATAGCAGCTGTGTTATCAATTCAGCATCCACTGTGACAGTAAATCAGGGCAGAGGTCAGGGAGCAGTTGGCATATCAGCAGGACTAATCCAATCTGCAACACAATTCACTTCAGAGCTTCTGGCAATAATCCCATAAAACCACACACAGGAATCTGTCGACTTTGTAAATAAACAAATTAACACTTGCCTAAAGCCCAAGGAGCTTGTTGACATGGTAAAAGTTATTTTTAAAGTAAAAGCTTTTAAATGAGAGGTGATAAGTCGGTGAACGTCACAGTGGACATGTACTACAGATCACAACGTGTAAATAAACAATAAATACAAAATATTCAGATCGGCTCAGACAGCTTTCATACAGCATCTAGAATAAAATAATGTAATTTTATTTGAAAAATAAAATATTTAGTGGTTTTTAAAGTCTTGATGCTTTTGTGGTTACAGGTTTCATCTCGTCTGGTCTCTAAATTTCCTTTGTCTGTATTGCACCACAATAATATCTTAGAAAACGTTGAAGTATTTGAATGAGTGTGTTAATATGTAAGTGGAAAGGCCAGGACAGAGGCAGTCCTTTTCTGGGCCACTATGATCCTGCTTTTCATCACCCATTTGATTCCAGGCTTTGACCGTCAGGGTGATTATGAAAAATACACAGAAGTTATTCAATTTCACCTAAAAAAAAAATACTACACAAACAATTGCTCAACACTGCAAACACTACAATAAAGGTGTGTCCTTTTAGACTGAGTGCCACATAGCGGCATATATCAACCTGCTGTCATGTCTGCTGGTTTGTTTCAGATCTCTGTGTCCTGTCAGTGCAGTTTGTCTGGTATGACTTTGCAATATGTTGTTCTATTTTTCTTGACTGAACCAATCGGTTTGGAGGTGTGGCAGATATTGCTTTTGGCAACATATACATTTAAATACTAAAAATAGAATTCATCTGTGCAAATACAACAACATCTTATTGTACTCTGATTCAGGAGAAACATTTTTTAAACTTAGCTAGTGTCCATATTTGGTTTACATCAGTTTTCATTTTAAAATAAAAACAATCTTGGTCCAGACACG